TCAGACTGAAGAAGTCTCTTGGAGGAGAGACGAAACGTTTCATTAAAGAAGAACCCGTCCAGAAGACCTATACTATTTTTTTCTTCCTGACTCAAACATCAGCTGAAGCTTCTCAGATTAAATCCAAATTTAAACATCAGCTGAAGTGTCTCTAGGATTAAATCCAGACTCAATCATCATCTGAAGCTTCTGGATTATTTAAAGCCAGATTCTTCAGCTGTGGTGGTCTTGTTCCCACACGCCGGCCCTTCACGTGCTCGCTCTAAACCAGACGCTTTTATCAGCAGAACCAGGGAGTGGCACGTGCGTGCGCGTGTGCACGTGTTTCCCAGGCTCTGTGGGAAAGCTCCTGCTGAGGAGGAGGAGGAGGAGGAGGAGGAGGAGGAACCACAGACCTTCAGTCCAGCCTGCAGTCAGGTCACAGACACCAGACCAGATTTGGTTTCTGAACTGGACCTTCTGCAGCAGCACTTTCTGAACTATTAAAACTTTTTTACATTTTTTATTGAAGTTGGGTTCTTCAGAAGGAAAAACATCTTTTTTATTTTTTATTTTGGGGAAAAAACTTGTAGATTTTATGAAAATATTTAGATTAGTTTCCTAGAACTCACCTGTTTTGTGTTTTTCAGTAAATCCTGGTTATTAACCTCCTGTGGGGCAGCAGCCGGTCGTCCCCAGCCTCTGGAAACCATGAAGCGTCCTCGTGAGGACAGCAGCTGTGGGGACAGTGAGCTGGACGACAGAGAGAAGCTGTCTTCAGAGTGAGCTGACAAACCTTCAGTTTAATAAGGATTACAGGACGAACTTTAACTGTTTGTTTTCAATACATAAAAGTAAATAACATCTAAATGGAGTCAAACTAACTTTATAAATTTGACCTAAAGTCACTAAAGTGAAAAAAGAATCAACAAATTGAAAACTGAGGATTTTTCATGAATGAAATATCAGAATAAAACTCACATTTGCTGTTTGTTTGTATTTGATTTGCTGATTTTATCCAATTAATGATATTTGTAATAATAAACTCATGAGAAAATGAAGTTTGTTGGACTTCAGGAGTTATTTAATTTACTGAAGAAACAGCATTTGTGTTTATTTTATAACATTTCTCCATCTGAATTTAAACTGCACTTTCATTTCCGACTTTTTAAAAAAATATCTACTCAATAAAACTGACTTCCTGAGAAATACGTCTGGAAATGATGCATCTAACCCCCGAATTTATCTTTAACAGATGTGGATCTCTGACTTCAACCACTCAGGTGATGGCCAGGAAAAAACGCAGAGGGGTGAGTTTAAATAAATAAAATCATGATGTCAAAGGTTTCTGTGTACTGATGGTTTGTTGTATTTCAGATAATAGAGAAGAGACGCAGAGATCGGATCAACAACAGTCTGTCAGAGCTGCACAGACTGGTCCCAGCAGCTGCGGAGAAGCAGGCGAGTTTTATAAACTACTGGAAACTGGATCTTTAATCAGATTTGCATCTTATTAGCTGATTCAGCTGCAACAGATAACCTGCTTCATCAAAGTCCATATTAATGACGTGGAGTGGATTGAAGGGTGGTAGTAGCTGTGAGTCACTTCCAGCACACACTGAGGGCAAACAACTACTTTCCATGTGTGATCACACTAACAGGAAAGGGAAAACATTGCTTCAGGAAATATTAGTTGTGTTTAAAATATTAATACGTTTCTGAAGTTTGTTACAAAAGAGCTTAAACTTTAACCCTCTTTATGTTCGGCTGTTTTCATCAGGGTTCAGCTAAACTGGAAAAAGCCGAAATCCTTCAGATGACTGTGGACCACCTGAAGATGTTGCAGATCACGGGAGGGCAAGGTAAAAAAAAAAAAAAAAAACAGATGTTCGGGTCACTCTCAGGTGTCTGACAGATGTTTGGGTCACTCTCAGGTGTCTGACAGATGTTTGGGTCACTCAAGTGTCTGACAGATGTTTGGGTCACTCTCAGGTGTCTAAATGATGTTTGGGTCACTCTCAGGAGTCTGACAGATGTTTGGGTCACTCTCAGGAGTCTGACAGATGTTTGGGTCACTCTCAGGAGTCTGACAGATGTTTGGGTCACTCTCATGTGTCTAACAGATGTTTGGGTCACAACCAGGAGTCTGACAGATGTTTGGGTCACTCTCAGGAGTCTGACAGATGTTTGGGTCACTCTCAGGAGTCTGACAGATGTTTGGGTCACTCTCTTGTGTCTAACAGATGTTTGGGCCACTCTCAGGAGTCTGACAGATGTTTGGGTCACAACCAGGAGTCTGACAGAAGTTTGGGTCACTCTCATGTGTCTAACAGATGTTTGGTCACTCTCAGGTGTCTGACAGATGTTTGAGTCACTCTCAGGAGTCTGACAGATGTTTGGGTCATTCTCAGGTGTCTGACAGATGTTTGGGCCACTCTCAGTAGTCTGACAGATGTTTGGGTCACTCTCAGGTGTCTGGCAGATGTTTGGGTCACTCTCAGGTGTCTGACAGATGTTTGGGTCACTCTCATATGTCTGACAGATGTTTGGGTCACTCTCAGATGTCTGACAGATGTTTGGGTCACTCTCAGGTGTCTGGCAGATGTTTGGGTCACTCTCAGGTGTTTGACAGATGTTTGGGTCACAACCAGGTGTCTGACAGATGTTTGGGTCACTCTCAGGTGTTTGACAGATGTTTGGGTCACAACCAGGTGTCTGACAGATGTTTGGGTCACTCTCAGGTGTCTGACAGATGTTTGGGTCACTCTCATGTGTCTAACAGATGTTTGGGCCACTCTCAGGTTTCTGACAGATGTTTGGGTCACTCTCAGGTGTCTGACAGATGTTTGGGTCACTCTCATGTGTCTAACAGA